GAACTGACAGGCATCAGCTGAGGCAGAAAGCAGCGTGGGCCAGCGAGGCGGCTCAGCAAGTCAGGACACTTGCCACCAAGCCTGACCACCTGAACACGATCCCGGGGAACTGCATGTGGGGGACGGAGAGAACAGATTCATGCAAGTTGTTCTCTGGCCTCCCCATGTGAGCCGTCACACACACACTAAATAAATGTAAAAAGTTTTAAACATGACCACGAGCACGATTGTGCCTGGCGCACACATCCAGGCCACATTAGAAGGAAGGAAGCTATTCTAGTCAACAGGGCTTTGTTTGGCTAAACTTTCTGATGTCATTAAGATGTGATTGCTGTATACTTCTCTGGAGAGGGATTTTTTTAAAAGGTTTTTATGTGTAATAGATTTAAAACTGGCACGCTATTTATCCAAGCATAACAAATTCCTGCCTACTTTAGTTGATTGTCGGCAACTAAATGAGCAACTTGAGTTTCGGACACAAGGGAGCAAGAATAACACACTGGGGGTGGAAGGGGTAGTTCAGAGGTGGAACGGCGTGCACAAAGCCCTAGGTTCAAACCGTGGCACCATGAAAGTTAATGGCCGAATTTAATACTATGAATTTCTTTCATAAATCATGTATGCATCCTCTGCCACCCTCCCGTAGAATGCACAGCACCCAAACCAGTGTTAGGTTCGTACAAATCACTCAGGAAATATTTGTGATATGAATTGAACATAATTGTATTCACTTAAAATTTAGTTTTATGTAATCAGTAAAGAAGTAATTTTTCAAATCTATGTAGTAACAAATGAAAAAAAAACCCTTTGGGTAAAATGAATTGAAAAACTCAGGGTTCAAAATTAAGTACATAGTATGCCTTAGTTAGAGTTTCCATTTCTGTAATAAAATGCCATGACCAAAATCAACTTGGGGAAGAAAGGATTAATTTGGCTCACATGTCCTAGGTCACAGTCCACTGAAGAAAGCCAGTACAGGAACCTAGAGGCAAGAACTTCGACAGAGGCCGTGGAGAGGTGCTGCTTACTGGCTTTCTCCTATGGCTCAGCCTTCTTTCTTACATCATCTGCCCATCATCTTTCTTACATCACAGCCAGCAGTGAGGTGGCCTCTCCCCCAAAAATTGCCAATCAAAAAAGTGTCCCCACAGACTTGCCTACAGACCAATCTGATGGAGGCATTTTCTCGGTCAGAACTCCTTCTTCCCAGATATATCCAGGTTTGTGTCAAATTGACCAAAAAACAAGCAGAACACACCACACCAATCACAAGTCGGTTTAAAAGGAAGAAAAATCAGAGTAGACACTATATATTTAATGTGGTAATTAAATATGCCTCTATTTCTTGGCTACTCTGATATTCTCACTGTTACATTTCAGCATTTTATTCTTTCACAACTGGTGCAGGTTTAACAGCCATCAAAAATTGTTAGCCAAGAAATCTTTCTGTGATTTCAGCAGAAAGACAAACAGGATGGTGGATCTGAGACCAGCTGGGGCTTCATAGCCAAGACTGTGCCACCAAAAAGAAACCGAAGTTTAAGAAGCAAGGACTATTCATTCGCAAAGCCACAATGCCACAATGTTTCTCTTAAAGCTACGAACTCTGTTAACCGGACACTATTTGCCTTCTTCAAAGCTGAACTACGGTATTTAGGACACTGAGATAGTTATGATGATCTGATTACCTGAGCTGTTTTAAATAATATGCAACTGAGGGAAAAGCTGTCACATCATGGAGATTTGCATGTCTTTAGCTCAGTTAAATGATAAATGACATTTTCCTGAAATGCTCACATGTGTTCTCTGTGACATTAGTCCCATCTTAAAACTTTCCCATGAGTCTGGCAGTGGTGGCATGCACCTTTAATTCCAGCACTTGGGAGGCAGAGGCAGGTGGATCTCTGTGAGTTCGAGGCCAGCCTGGTCTACAGGGTTCTAGGACAGCCAGGGCTGTTACACAGGGAACCCCTGTCTCAAACCACAACAATAAAACTACATGAAACATGCTGTTGGCAAACATAATGAGCATAAAATCTAGAAATAAAAATTCTTCTTAGTACTTAGCAATGATAAATATGAAGAAGCACATATAACTAATCTTCTTCTTAAACCTCATAAAATAAATTAATTCTGTTACTTTTAGATTGACTCCTATATCCTAAGGATATGTTATTTATGAGCGTGTGTGTATAAAGACATATATATATGTATATATATGTGTATAAAGACATATATATATATATATATATAGAGAGAGAGAGAGAGAGAGAGAGAGAGAGAAAGATGTGTAATCTACTGGTATAATATATAAAAATTCAACTTCTCACAAACATGTCTCAAATTCCAAATTTAGTAATCACTAGGAACCACTAAACTAAATGCTGCAGAAAGTGATTTTTCAGTTGCCGTGTGAATAGCGTGTGTTAAACCGCGGGTTTTCCTTCCAAAGCTGTAAGTGGTTTATCTCACAACCAGGTTGTGCAACACGCTTTTAACATCTCTCTTCATAAACATGACAACCTTTTAAGCGATAAGAGCACTCGCCGTGTTGATCCATCACTCTGACACATCAGCTTTGATCAGCTGGAGTCTAATTTCTTCCTGTTGCATAATTACTTAAGAATCCATTCTGCTTGGAGTGAGTTCCTGGAAAGATTTGGGCAGCTGATGTTGTAGAATACAGGTTTGTGTTTTAAGGGGGAAAGGAAAAATTAGTAACGGAAGGGAGTAAGAACACAGCGTGCTGTGAAGCCAGCGTGGAGCGTGGGTCAAGTGCAGCTGCCTTTTCCAGAGGTGGGCAATGGATACTCACTTTGTCAGGATGCGTGAAAGAATGGGATTCTTCATTTCGTCCACTAAGAATAGGAAACGACTTCTCCTTTTCTTCACTCAACAACTGAAAAATAAGTTTGTTGCTTTCAGGGTAACTCTGTTGCAGTGATGGAAGATAAAACCACAAATAGTTCATGTCTCCAAGTCCCCGCCATGGGGATACGGAGTCTTCACATACTTTTAGTTTATTTAATTAAAAAAAAAATTGAGACAGCGTCTCACCATTAACTCTACCTGGCTTAAAACTCACATGTAGACCAGGCTAGCCTCAAACTCACAGAGATCCAGCAGCCAGGAGAGTGTCAGGGTTAAAGGCATGTCAAGGCTTGTGGAAGCACACCCAGCTAACCTTCGTCATAATAAATAATAAATTATTGTCTAAAAGTCTAGAGAGAGAGAGAGAGAGAGAGAGAGAGAGAGAGAGAGAGAGAGAGAGAACAAGCAGGTTGACCTCATTCTGGATTTGGCTGGCTGACAGGAAAATCTGATTATAAAGGAGAACAAAAGGAAAACAGAAAGCAAAAAGCAAAGCTTTCATGGTTTCCTCCACTGAGAAGAAAATATAGACAAGGGTGGATACAGAGTGAAGGGCACCGCCGCACCCATTGCCTTCTTGCTGGCCAAACCCCAGTTCCCAGAACCGTCTATACCCACCTACCTGGCTCGCTGTCCCCTGACCCACCTACCTAGTTTGTCTCTGAAGTGTTCGAAAGGGTAAACAGAAATCTCTCAGGTAAGGGGAAAACGTTTAGAAAGTGTGAGAAACAGTTATATAATAACTGAGATAAATTTGCCCTTACATCAGATATAAAGAGATACACTTTACTATGTTGTGAGGATGAATCTCTACAACATACAGAGACCACGAATCACACATGTTATTCATGTAACTTATGCACAGAGAGGTTTAACAACCTCTAGAATGTCAAAGAATAAGTTCAGGACGTACAAAGTAAAATATCAACGATTTTTTTTTTTCTGTTGTTGAGAGTGGATCTTGGAATTGGTGAGTTCTTAGTAACTCTGTCTCTATTCATTGTTTCCCACGGTTCTTTGAAACAGCTGAGCTCACAGGCGGGCTCTCTTCAGCCTTGAATGGCCTTGAACTTCTCCTCCCTTCACCTCCAATTATAGGCGTGTGCTACCACGCCTGCTAATCTCATCCTAAATCCTGCCTCCCTGTTCCTGGCAGTCTGGAGGAGGCCCTGGGAAGTCTCTGCTAGAACCATGTTCCCAGCGGAGTCCTCAGCATCTCACCTGGAAAACCATTCTTTATTTATTTATTTATTTATTTGTGCATACTTTGCGTGCTAGGCAAACTCTCTGTCAGGAACCATCCCTCCAACCCCACCCCTTCCCCTTTACTCAGCTCCTCCTAACAACTGTTTTTCTGAGATTCACCTCTGAAAACAGTAAAGCAGTTCTAAACCTTCTCTGTGACCGCTTATAGCGTCAGTTCAACTATCAGTCCTTCTTAGACGGCTAACTCCTCTCCCTCCAGAGATTTTTCCAGCCCTTGAGTATGCACTCAGCCGGCTGGCATGGCCTTTTCTAAGCACTAGAAGAAGACTATGGTGGTTTGAAAGAGTTGTTGGGGTCATGATGTCTCTTCACAGCAACAGAAACCTTAGCCAAGGGAAAGAGCTACAGCCCCTTTTACTCAACTACGGCATCGTATTTTGCAGATATATAGGAATACTGAATTATTTATCACAACAGTCTACCCAAGGTCAGATTTTTAAACTCCAAGATTAACCCAATTTCTTCTTTCTCTCCCCACTCCCCATATGATATTAACACACTGTTCAAAATCAAGAAACTTCCTTCCCCCGCTCAAAAGTGGTCCAGAAATTCATTCCTTGAGACAGAGTAAGAGCAGACTGTTTTCGTGGAAATTGGGAGAAGGATCCTATATCCTTAAACCTAGTGCCCAGGTCACAGCTGCAAAGTCATCAGCCACTGCCGTATTCTTAAACTCTGATTTTCTTAAACTCTGATTTTCCCCCCAAATAAATTTTCAAATGATGTTAGCACATCCCTTGTTTTTGCACAATATATCCTAGACTTATGGAAGACAGCCTGAATGGTTGGGTGACATTTCTCAGGGGATACGATCGTTGTAAAGTCTGAAGGCATCTTTGACTTAATTGCGCTGAACTCTTTAGTCACAGATGAAGAGATAAAGGCCAGAGAAGAGAAGCCACCTGCACCAGATCACGCAGAAAAGAAACGCACCGGCACTCCAGCCTGGACCCCTGCTCAGGTGAGCTCCTCTGCGTCCATCGTGGGCTTCCAGAAATCTTTTAGAAATGTGATCCTTCTCATGGTAACATTACATCTTTACTAAAATAAAACCCTAGTCCTCTGTCAAGCAACCAGCAATGATTTATGGCATGCTTCCGGAATATCGGATTGACATTGGAGGTGAGACCAAGAATGACACTGGCGTTAGCTTTACTTCATCTCACGACAGTGACTCTTGGCTTAAAGACTTAGCAGGACCTTTGAGGTATAGACAGAAAAATGTTCCAACTGTGCAATTTGCATAAGTTGCAAAGGTTACATAGACGCCCCCTCCCCCAACCGTTGACTCTAGGTTACAAACCCCTGGCCTAGAAAACGCCAGTGGTGGATACATGCCAAAAACACGATAGCGGAGCAGTAACTCCTGCCTTATTTATGGGTCTCTGGTGGAGGACAACTTCTGTTTCGGTATCCTTCATCTTTAATTTATATGATGCAGCAGTGTGTCCTGGAAGGCTTTCAGTATGAGAGGAACATTTTTCAGTAAACATTTAGTTTACCAAGTGGGATACATTAATATAACAACTATGGAAAAAATGAAGACATTGTCTTTCAAAATAAAAACACTCGCAGTGTATGTGAGAATGGTCAGTGTTCACAGAAGGATATTTATTTTATTTTGTTTTAAAATTCTTATTATAATTATTAAGAAAAAGGAACAGACTGAAAGGAAACCTGGCCGGCTGGTTCCTATTTAAATAATTATAAAAGCACCCATTCACCCATGGGAAACAGTGCAAATGAAAGGTATCTATCCCTGTGTCCTGGGGACATCTGGAAGCCCCGGTCCTTTCCTGTTTGCAGCAGTGTTTCAGGGGGTTTATAGTTCCAGGCTGGAGGGCAGCAGTTTCTTTATTTCCATGTACTTTAAGAAACTTACAGATACTTTAAATTTATCGGTAAGGAGTTCTGGTCTCTCCAGACGAAAACATCCATCTTGGACATTCTGATAGCATTAATTAATGTGACAAGAACATGTGTCCTACCCTGCAGTGACAGGCGCTCTCACACTTCACTGTCACAAGATCCCAGGTCGGATCCCAGGATCGGGGCTAGTTTGACTCCCAAATAAGCAAGACACAAACCCTGGAGCCTGGGCTTCTTCATCTCGTGAACTGAGCTGACACACATGTTGGTCTTCACCTGGTCCTCGGCATGTGCAGTGATGTGCTCCAGAGGGCAGTTAGGATTGAGCTTGCTGGGACCGTTTGTCTCTAGTGTGGTAGCCTCACGGGAATCACATAATATACCGAATATACTAGTATATTAGTAGCTATTATATCCGCTAATGCAATACTTTCCCGAGTGTTGCACTAAGCACGCCATGGTTTCTAATCTCTTCCCAGCAGATGTGGGCATGGAGTTCTGTCCCCATTCCTGTTCCCCAGCTGAGACAACTGAGGGAAGGCGGGTGTAAGTTACTCAGAGTGACTCACCCCGGGCTGCAGTTCAACCCTACACAGGACCCAGAACTCACCCGTGTAATCACCCCAGCATCTCGCCTCTCCCGACTCCACCCGCGGTCACGTGAGCTGTTAGGCCTCGATCTATTCAGCTCTGTAAAGATAATCGAAGCCCCCAGTCCAGTTGTAGGCCACCACACTGGCACTGAGAGAGGCTGCCTCTGCTTGGAGGAGGTAATTGTCACGAGATCCCTCTGTCTTCAAGGGTATTTGTCTTTGTTTCTAGGACAGCTCTAACAAATCACCATAGGTGTGGTGGCTTCTGTCAAAGAAACGTGTCTACTGGTAGTGCTGGAGGCAAAAGTGTGCAATGAAGGCGTTGGTAGGGACATGCCACCTGCCACCTGCCTTCCCCCGCACCCACAAATATACACTCTACACACACACACACACACACACACAGTGGGGGCACCGGGGGCAGGCTGTATGTATGACAGGCATCTGGATGGCTTCCACATGACTGTTACCAATCATGCTGTTGTACACATAGCTGTACTTTTAATGACTTTTTGGAGACACTTCTAGTGACGTGAAAGACCCTTAGTCTCGTATGTTCATGTTTTACTGCTAAAATTAACTTGGCAGCTTTTGGCAATAATAGCACAGAAGTGAGAAGCCAGTTGGAAGCTACATACCCTTCTTTCTGTTATTGTAGAGCAACAGGGGTGGATTTTTAATGAAGCAATAACAAATAGCAGACCCCAAGAAACACACAACTGAGCGTGGGCTTAGAAGCTCGTCTCGCCATTGCGGGGCTTTAAAAAGTGCACAGGGACACTGCCCTGTCCCTAGGTCGGCAAATGATGAGACATCAGAAAGAAAGCATAGCATGTCATCCCCCTCATCATTATAAATCCTCTCCTATCCATTTCCATATTAATATACGTTACCCCATTTATGGTTTTGAAATAAATAGCATCTTTCGATAGTCACACAACATTGAATCTAAACAAATCTCTGAATTTTGTATGCCCTAAATTAGAGTCAGTGCTTTCACTAAAGCTGAAGTCCAATCTTTTTCTCTCGGTCGTGAGCCCTGTACTCGTAAAGTCATCTGGAGGCTGAACTGAGCTCCCTCAAAACCAAACCGAAACAAAGAACTACTTCAAAATCAGTTATTTGGAGCATGCCTTGTGGTCTTCCACTTGTGTTCCTATTAATAAAAATTAGACATAGTGGAGTAGGTAGAGCCACAAAACACTCTGTACCCAACACTTGGCCTCTTTGTTGCTGACTTTCGGTAGCTCACTGCTAAGTGCAAGGTTACACAATGTAACAGAGTAAGTAACCCAGTTGCCTGAAACAAAGCCTGTGCTCACTTACCATGCTTGCTTCTTCCTCTCTCATCATGAATGCATAAAGAACATCATTAACTGCTGTGTTCGTTTATGTTTCTCTCTTGCCTTTTGTTCATCCCAAACTCCTGGGTCCCTTCTTAGCCTCCACTAAACGCCTGGGTTTATAGTCTGATTTCTAATATTCACCCTGCTGTCAGCTTGGGAAAGGAATCGCTGATGGAAACTTGGCAAGAATTGCAGTCAGGAAAGAAAGTTCCCAGGAAAAGATTAAGCAAGGTTGGAACCTTCTGTAGTGCATGAAAGCAACAGAAACCAATAAACTAGTCATGCTTTATATTCGCACAGATATGGTATGAGGCCATGCCATTAATTATAAAGACTTCTCCCAACCCATGTCACTGAGGACTTAAGAAATTACATGTGGCAGAGCCAAGAGATGGCTCAGTGGGTGAAGAACGTGCTGTGTAAGAGGGAGGGATGAAGTTCCAGTCCCTAGAATCCACAGAAAAGGCTAGGCACTGTAGCTCATGTTTAGGGGGGAGGTAGGGCAGAGACAGGTGGATCCCAAGAGCTTGTTGACCGGCCAATCCAGGCAAGATGGCGAGCTCCAGGTTCAGTAAGAGACCTTGTCTAAAAACAATAGAACAAGATACTCAACACTGACTTGACCTTGGAACACACGCGTGTACGTGCACACACACAGGAGAGAAAGATAAGAAATTACATTCTGCATCTCTGAGCATTGAACTGTGCTCAGGGGAGGAAGCCGCTTGGGATTTGGCCCCTGTGACAAGAACAAGCATGTGAAATTATGTTTTGCTCACCCTACGCAAGGAACATGACCCTGCCCAGGGCATATCTGAATGTGTTCCGAAATGGTAATGCCTTTCTATGGGAAGTTTGACTCAATGGCCACATTGATGCATTGGTTGATTGGTTATGACGGCACCAGGCGATTCAATTAGCACAAAGAATAAGACCTAGAGCTTCCTCCTGTCTTACACAAGCCACTACACTAAGTAGTGTAATCAGAATGCTCCAAGACTTTCTCAGTTTATAACTTGGCAAAATCATACAGTTTGAGGTGGTAGAAGCACAGCTAACAGCACGCACTGCTGCTCTCTTACACGCGCTCCATCGACTAAGTCAGGCTGAAAAGAAGCTGTCAATCATTACTTTTTCTACATAAACCACGCATGACACAAAGGGCTTTGGGGACATACCCAAGGATGCAAATTAAGACAGACAGACAGACAGGAAAGAAGGGGACCGAAAAGGAAAATGGAAAGAAAGGAAGGAAGGAAGGAAGGAAGGAAGGAAGGAAGGAAGGAAGGAAGGAAGGAAGGAAGGAAGGGAAGGAAGGAAGGAAGGAAGAAAGAAAGAAGTGAAGGGAAAGCATGGGGAAGGGAAGAAGGAAGGGAAGAGCGCCGCGCCGCTGTGAAATCCGGCTCTCCAGGTGTTCCTGGGGTATTTTCCTCATCAGAACCACTTTCCGATCCACCTTAAATTTCCAGTCACCTAGCACAAGCACTTGGAAGAGGGATTTTTGTGAAATTTAAATCCGCTTTGCTGATGTTCCTTACTGCTCGTGGCGCCTGCAAGCTATTAACATCAGGAGAAACTACAAATGCGTTTGTGATTTTCATTTGCTTGTTTAGTGTGTGTGTGTGTGTGTGTGTGTGTGTGTGCGCACGAGCACATGCATGCGTGTGTGTTTAAATTGCTCGCTCCTTTCTATTCTTCAAAAAGACAGATGGGACCACATTTGCAGAAAACAATTTGTCTAAAGCCATTGCCTCAAGCAGATCGTGTGAATTCCTAAGAGCCTCTTTGGGGCTCTCCATCTTGCTGGGGAAATAATGATACTCAGATTAACTTGGGAAGCACGTCCAAGAATGTCTCTGGTCTCAATAACCACATAGTTTGTCAGTCATCCAGCCTGTTGTCTTCCCAGTCAGGTCCTGGGGGTGATGAGATGAATGCCACATTCACCTTGGTTTTACAAAACAAAATCAAAAACAAAAATCCCTTCAATCTACTGAGGAAATGGGTTGCGTGTGGGTGATAGGGTAAGTGCTCAATGTTCGTGCACTGGGTACCACACAGAAGAAAGCAATGTGTGCTCCTTGGAATAGAAGGTTCTTATGAGCCTGTTCAGTACGAGGAAGGTGTACGAACTAGGTCACGAAAGGAAAGCG